GGAAGAGGCACTGAAATCATGTAACTCTCGTTTCTCCAGTGTATGACCTCTCCATCCAGTGGTCTTACCATCGCTGATCCTTGCCCAAATCTGTTTTATTTGAGGGGAATTGCAAAATGGTGACTTCTTGATTCTGTTGGTATTTCTATATTAGTCTGTACTTTCCATGAATGGCTCATCATCCTTGTTATTTTAAATTACTATTATAGACTCTTGGGCTGTTTTCTTAAAATCTATTTTCTGTTACATACCATACTCTTTGTCTTGTAAAATACTAGTACTGTAAAATGCTCTGAGGAAAAAATGAATTCTGTAGACAAATAATTTGAGGGACATAATGTATCTACCATTGAAGTTACACAGCCTACGTCAGGCTATGGAAGACTCCAACAACCTGTGTGACTGTATTTAAACAAGTGTTTCTTAAACTTATTTGATCATAGAAGCATTTTTCCTCTTAAACACCGACTGTACATTTGATGATATATATTTGTGGGAACACTACCCAAAAAGCCAACACTGGTGATTAAATGTTTAAATATTTTATCAATAATATGAAACGAAGAATGATGAATAATGGTAAATATATTATTATTCAACAAATACTGTATGATTAAAATAGTTATTCTACCATTATTCTACTTACAAGGTCAGCTCAGCAGAGCACTGGGGTCAAGAACAACCCAAAAGAGGAAAGGATTTCTTAAAGAGAACCTAAGAACAAGTAGCCATCAAAGAAAAGACTGGCACGTTAACCATTACAGCTAAGGATTTCTGTTTATCAGAGGACATCAGGAAGAATGTGAAGAGTCTGGGATAGCCCATCTACAGATTGCATGTGGAAAACTTAAAGAACTCCTTGTGTACACACAAAGATTAAGTATGTCTTTATCAGCTGTCAAATTCCTGTAAACAATGGGCAGAAGATATGAATAGGTACTTCACAAAAATTATCCCCAGTGACTGCCAAGCTTATGGAAGTTACTGGCCTGAGGGAAATGCAAAGTCAACCTCATGGTGATATCACTGCCACTATGACCCCCCAGGATGACTAACGTGAATGGGAAAGGCGACAGAAGCAGGCGCGATTGAGGGGCCGAGCTGTGGGCACCGTGAAATGCCACTCAATCTCCCTTCCATCAAGTGACTGCGGGTCTGGCCAGTGGCAGTGCTGAGCTTCACTCTCTGATGCTGCAGAGGCTGGATCTTGACACAGGTCACACTAACAGATGGAGGGCATGGGGGACCCCGCCATCTTGGCTCAGAGCAGGGTAATTCTGAGGGGACGTTCAGGCTCCCTGGCTACTGCCACGTTGTCCTTGGCCCCGCATCTTTCACCTTCTTCCTTCATCAGATCTCTCTTCTCACTCTTTGGGACAGGTGTGAACACGAAAGGCATCTGTAGCAGCATCTTACACACTAAGCTATGTGTGATGGCTTGCTTTCCCCGGGACCCATCCTGTGACACAGGACAGCTAGAGCTCTCACACATTGTGCAAAGCGTAATAACCACTCAGGGAAAACTGCTGATGTCTAGCAAAAGCCCACAGCAGACCTCGTGACCCAGTAATTCCTCTCTTAGATGTCTAGCAAGAAGTGAGCATTGTGTCTGCCCGCAAAGTCACATCCAAGAATATTTTCTTTGTAATAGGTCCGCACCAAAAATGACCCGAACGTCCACGAACTGTAGAATGCTCCCTCCCCTGTCCCATTCTGTCTTTCTCTTCTCCACCTCTCTCTTGAGACTAGAGGGGCAGGAGTTCTTAGGCCACAACAGGTCTGGGCCACCTCATCTGTACAGAGTTCCCACAGCAGGATCTGGAAGCCAAATACCTAATAGCAGCGTTTTCCACATTCTGCTCCAGAGTGTGCTACTATGTATCATCTGAACAAAGCCCCCGAGGTCAGGTTAGTTTTGGAACACTGTGAGAATTTCTCCAGATATCTTCCAAGATGTGCGATGTATTATTCGAGGTTTCCCAAACGTAATCGAGAATCAGTTCCTGCAAAACACCTCATGGCATAAGACCCATGTTGTACCCCCTTGGGGTTATACTCAAAGAAATAAACAATGTCCATTTGCTGCAACATGTTTCAGCAGATCTTCATTTAGAAGCTGGACTCACAGATTCTAAGCTGTGACTCTTGCTTTATTAACACACAGACACGACTAACAGAGCTCTAAAGGCATCAAACCCACAGTGCCTTTGGTCCTCGCTTTATTTGTTTTACCCAGCCTCAGATTTTTGTGACATTTCGCAGAAATCCTATTGTTTCTCTACTAATAGCATTTAATTTCTGGTACTATTTCTCCACTAAATAATTATTTAAATTGCTCTAATTACTTGTAAATCACTCAACTCTCCTTTCGTAGGAGGGTGTCACAAACAGTATCTGATCCTGATGTTTTGAACCAAATTTCACTAAAATCTAGTGATGTCTGACTTGTAACTGTAGGCAGACTCGGCATTTTTCAGTGTAACGTCTGAGGTACAGACCCCTTTGCCCCTCTCAGCTTTGCTTCTGTCCCCAAATTGGCTTGGCTGAACCTATTCATCCGAGTATTTCCTTAGGAAGTAGACCCCTGCCTGTAGCAGTGGGACCAGGAATCCCACCTCACTGCTCCCAGACTGGCTCAGGCTGTGATGAGGGCCTTGGAAAGAAGCCAGGCAAGGTGGTGCATGCCTGTCATCACAGCACTCTGGGAGGTTGAGGCAGGAAGGTCCCAGGTTCAAGTCCAGCTTGGGTGATTTAGTAAGACAATGTCTTGAAATAAAATAAAGAGCAGGAGATGTAGCTCAGTGTGAAGGTCCTTGGTTAATTCCTCAGTACCACAAACAAAAACAAAAAAATCAAAGCCAGGGTCCCAGCAATTTCTGCAGGCTGTGCTTGCGCTTTGGCTCAGCCTGGGTTACTGGTGTCTGGTGCGTATTGAACAGGAAAGGAACAAATTACATATCAGTACAGCAATTTGTATCTACCTTGAGAAAAAAAGGAAAGACAGGGAGACAAGACTAGGATGTTCTGAGGTTGGGGATTATGTGACTATCTGTCCTGCCGCTCAGGGCCGGAGGCAGGCGTGAATGAAGCTGCAACGAGCAAAGCCCATTGAAGTCAAAGAATTTGGAGGAGTTAGAAGCTCGTGTCTGCACCCCAACTCCACCATTTCTTTAGTTCTGACTTTTGTTAGTTTGGGCTTTAGGAATCAGAGTCAGTTTCTCCTAACTTTTTTTTAACCCTTCTACCTGTTCGTGTGTGTGCCTGCACATTTATGTGTGCACAGAGAGATGCTGAGGTTGATTTGTGTTAAATGCTACTAACGTGGTTGTTTTGGGATCTGGAAGTTGGGGTGACTTTTCTCTCCTTTTTGTGCTTTCCACCAACTGATTTTTTTAAGCTAAAAAAGTAAATCAGACTCCAAATATGGTCAATATTAAATTAAAGATATGTAACATAATGATGTCAATATTTATGGGTCTTTGAAATGAGTTGATCTTACAAAATTCCCCAACCAAACCAAGCCTCATTCCCTCAGTTTCCTCTCCCCGTTCCATGCATGTTAGACTGGTCTCTGTTTTGTTCAGTCTTTAAGTAGACTGTGCTCCACCTTCTGTCCTGCCAATAAATTCTGCAGGAATCCAGAGAAGGCAACATGAAGATTATGTGTTCTCATATAGAAAGAAATCATACCTCACCATACCTAAGAGCAGCAAATCTCTTAAAACCAAATACTTGATGTATTTGTTGGGCAGAGCCATTTAGGTAATACTGGAAAATGTAAAATCAACTTCACTTATCCATGTCCCAAGGCCAAAGCCATTGTTCTACTATCTACATGGGAATACAGCTATCTCAAACTAAGAAACAAGAAATCAACAGCCTTTCTAGCGAGTCTGGCAATATCTTCTGCTTCATGGGGCCCAGGGACCAGCGGGGCTCCAAATTGGGCAACATACTATTTTTTAAATATTTTCGTTCATGGACTTCTAATGAGGAATAAATGTATAGCTTGAGAGAATTTCAAAATATGTTTTTCAGCCTCAAAGAAATTCTCAATTGAAATTAGAATGACAGGTTTAAAATTGTATTTTTTGATAGATATATTTTATACTTTACAATACACTTCAAATGAGATTAAGAAGCAAGTCAGCAGATATTAAATACTAAAATATAGGCACATTTTGATAATTTGAGATTCAGGCTACAGTGCCTCTGTTATAGTCATTCAAATTATTTTATATTCTAAAACAATGAAGCTTCTCAACTGATGGAATGTTGCCAGCGGGTTTCAACAGAGTTTGAAGGCAACATAACCAAAAGGCACAGTTGAAACCGGCTCAAGGAATGAATGGGCGCCTTATCAGAGCAGCTGAGCTGTGTACAATTAACAGCACTGGTCAACTCTCACAGGGCCCATATAGAACAAGCAGGCCCCGCAGCCCCACAGAGCAGCAACCTTCAGCTTCTGGCCCCTTCATATCCACATGACCTGAAAACAAAAAGGCAGCCTCCAGCCATCACTGCGTGGACACTGCAACATTTTAGTGCTGCTGGCAGGATCACAGAGCAACTGCTAACTAATGCTAATTAGGACAATTCTGTTAACCTTAGCATCAGGCTTCAAATTAATCAGCTATCATAAAAATATAAAATATCACTTATAAAGGCAAGTTTATATTTACAGTGGCTGATTAAAAATTGTTATTTTATTTTGCTAAAAAGGTTTCACTATGTACTCCAGACTGCCCCTGAACTTACTATGTAGCCTAGCATCCTTGAACTCCGGATCCTTCTGCCTCAGCCTCCTGAGTAATTACAGTTTTTCACCACCACCATGCTCACTTGCTTTTACTTTTAAAACACATGGAAATGAATCTTTTTCATTTAGTGAATGACCGATTTAATTTGGCTTAAACAGTTTTGTATGAAGAGTACTAAATTCATTACGTGACGATTCTGTATTGATAAATTTTACTCACGAGGATACGAAACAAACAAAATCCAGTTTCATTAAATAAATTTATTTGTTAAAATAATTTAACTCCAAATACAACTGTTGAATTTGCATTGAGTTGTAACTACAATTCATGTTTTAATTGAAATGTCAAGGTTTAACAACTGACATTGTTATAAAACAATAAACTGTTGTTCAATTTTAAATGGTCAGTTGTATTAGAGCTCAACAACTAACTGAACTATAATCTCTGGGAAACCCCAAATCAATAATGATAAGTCTGTTTTCAAAACCTACTGCAGTCATTCTTGAAACCCTGATCAAGATTTAATAGATGCATGATGACAAAAAGAAAAAGAAAAAAAGAGGAGGACCCCCATAGTCTTTAACATTTGATTCGCTAACAAGACAATTAAAGCTTAACCAGTGCTAACACAGGACTACTGATAGGAACCAAAAGCTAAAAAACCCAACAGAAAAAAAAAAAACAAAGCACTCAATTCACACAGACACTGACAACATTCATACGGGGAAAATCCACCATTGAAAACAAATACCAGACATCCTTAGGCAACATTTCTTTATACAGAAAAGAAAATTTCAGTAGTTTTACCATAGAAAAGTGATGGCAACTGTAGCGAGTCAAAGGTTCAGTCCTAATTCTACAAACCAAAGGACAAAGATCATCAAAGCACCTTTCAATAGTTAAAGATTTTATGTAATACTTCTGATCAGATGCTGGCTTGTTTTGTGTAAGTTGAATAAAACGAAGGCATCGGTTACCATCACTATCACAGCTTAAGGGAACCAAAAAGTTGCAACATTAAGAGAAAAAAAAAAAACCTTAAGAAAAAATGCTGCCTTTGTATAAAAGTAAAAAACAGAACAAAAAAACCTGACCACAATAGCGAAAGAAATAGTGGGTCTTTGGATCAAACCATAATATCTTTAAGGCATGTTAGAAAAACTTTCACTTATCTAGTTGCTAGTCTGATCAGGGCATAATGTAAGTAATGACCGGGTCACCAACTTTCACTATGATTTCATGTGCCAACAAGAGTCATCTTCCTGCTCTTGAGCTTTTTATTCCCATCTCAGCAAACATGTTCATTCAGGGTGGTTGGGACTTGTGCCATGCTGATGACTGACGGTGGAGGCAGGAGGCCCCGTGCTTTGCAGGTCTCAACGCCATGTCCCTACACTCGGGAGGCTGTGTGGGAGCACCCGTCAGGCGGCCACATCAGTTCTTAGCAACATCTTCACAGTAAAAGCCCACCTTATTGTCTGACAAGCACTTCTAGACAAAATCCCAAACTTCAGATAATGTTTTCCATCTCACTTTGCCAGACCTTTCACATTATTTCACCTATTTTTTGCGTCTGCATAGCAACCCATGATACAGAACCGTGGGGATCTCTATAGCTGTTTCTAATATGCAATCTTAGTTGTCCTACATTGCTATTATGGAATTCTAAAACACAGAATCATTATTAGAAGTTCAATGCTTCAAAACTCAACTGACTTACTGACCAATATTTCTGCTTCAGTAGATAAATCATACTTCTTGAATCTTTGATTATTCTGTTTGGGTCAACTCAGTTTTTACACAGTGAAATTTGCCTGAAGAAAATTGGTTATAACTTTTTTGTCCTATAAACAAGGTGCTTTGTAATTGAAGATTATAAAAAAAATTTGTACAGAAGAATATAAATATTCACAATTCAAAGATTCTGTCATAAACATGGTCTGGTTTTACTCACATTATTTCTTCAGTTTCTCATCTATGAAAAATACTATCATCCCTTCTTCTACCCTTGACGCCTGATGCCAGTTACGAAACACTTGGGGGGCTACCAATGATTTCTATGATGTAGAAAAGATGCTTAAATAATTTCGAAGAAAAAATGTTTTTGATACACTATATTCTGCAGTATAGATTCTCAGTATAGGCAATTATCTCTGACTTGTGCCAAATTCTTAGGAACAATAAACACACATGCACACACAGACACACTCTTCTCTCAGTTACACATGTAAGACCAGAGGTTACTTGCACAAGACTGTGGAACCAGGAAAATTTGGGCGCTAAGTATATCACAGGCTCAGTGATATTGCAGTTCTCTAGGCCAAATTTCTCTCCAGAGGCCGGGCTCAAGGTCCTCTCTTCAGCATTTCTAACTCTAAAGTGAGGTGAAAACCTTTCTACATTTGATTGTAAAACTTTTGAATAGGATTTTCCTGTGCCATGACTCATGCAAATGATAAATACTTCACGGCTATCAAAACCAAAAATGTCAGAGCTTGAGCACCTTTTCAAAACAAAATATTCACTCCAGCTTTATGTGCCACTTCAGTAATCAGGGCGGAATTGTTATAAGAAAACCTTTATATAATTCTCCAGGAAAATTAAAGATAAAAGGCTTTTTGTCCCTCACCTTCCACTCTATAATTTATGTTCTACTTTTAAGCCCAAATTATTTCACACGGTTATTCAATTGTTTAAATGCCTGCAGTAAAGCTCTGCTACAGCGAACTGGATTTCCAAAGCAGGTTAGCCAAGGGTCACATCACACCATAGCCCTTAAAGGCGAGAAGGAATTTGCTGCTTTCATGAATGTAAAAGTGCCAGATATCTGTCCTGTCCTGTGCGGTTTCTGCAAACGGGAACATGTGGCTGCAACATGGCTTCATTTTCCTTACACGATGGTACGAGTTAATCTACTAGAATGCTTCTTGTTAGTAAGGCTAGGCAATCTCTCCATCTCAGTTGCTTCCTCCTTGTTCAGGAAATAAAAACCTTCCCTGCTTGGGTGATAGAGGGTGGGTTTGGGATTTTAATTCTGATCAAACCCTTGAGAGAGCCTCCATTTTCTGTGGCAAAGCAGGTGATTTAACAAATTCTAAAGCCAGACTGTATTTTCACACAACTCTGTTCTGACTTTGCTCTATCAGGATTGATGCGTGAGTTAGTTCCATGCCACAGATTAGGATAACATCTACAGTTAGGCATCAATTTTGAAAAACAGAAATGTGCCAGCTGTGCAAAGACTCTCCCTGCAGTGCTGTTGGCAGGCCAGCTGTTATGCTACTTGACGGAATACACTGGTTAGGAGCTCTATCCCAATTCCCGAAATTCAGTACTCTTGTAGGAAAATATTCTCCTTTAGTTTTTTTTTTTTGTAAAGAAGACAAAATATTTAACTGTAAGTGGTCATACGAATTCTTCTGGTTTCTCCCTCATGATTCATTTGAATTTATACAATAGTTGCTTCTGTCAACTCAGTGACAATGCCATCATCGCTTTCAAATGAGATCACCCTGTAGATCGATGGGCTATGCCTACAAGTTGCAGATGCATAAAGGAGGCTGAGGACACTGGTGAACACTGTTGTTACTGAACCCAAATGTACTCAGAAACAGTGTCTGACAACCACTGCTCATTTCTGAATAAGGGTTGCAGTGTGCTGTAGTTTCACACCACGCATCCCGCCAGCTCTGCAATGTGGTAGGCAAGGTCTCTATCACCTACGATACTGGGCAAGTCCTGTCCAGGACAGCCAAATTTGGATGCTATTGTATGTTACAGGCAGAACAGCACGGATCATCTTTGTCAGGCTGGGCAGCATAGTTCATCTGCCTCACGATTTCTGCAAAGAGTTCGTCCACCATTGTTTTACTCTTAGCAGAAGTCTCCATAAAGGGGCAGCCCCACTCTTCGGCAAGGGCTCGGCCTTCATTGGAGGATACTTCTCTCTCACTCTCCAGGTCCACTTTGTTCCCGACCAAGATGACTGGCACTTTCTCATACCTACGAAAGACAAAACAAAACATACATATATTGTGACACTTAGCTCCAAGAGAAACAGGTAAAATGTATTTTCTCTATATTCTACTATAAATAGTCTCTTTAGTTCCATGAAAAATTATTTGCACCACTTGACTCATCACCTACCTACAGTTGTTCCGAAACTACTCTCAGAATAGATCACACATAGGTTTTTCAAAATGATGTTTTTAATTATATGGCCTTGAACATGTTCCTACCAGCTTGAACCACTGGTGGTATATCCATGGGCCATCCCATCAGGAGGCATGTACCACTAAATGGGACTGTCCCATGTTGAGCCATGAGATAGTCATGTGTGTACCACTGGTAGTTCAGAGCCACTGGCAGCCAGAAATATGAAGTACAGCCCTGTCATGAACATGTTAAAATAAACTTACCTTTCCAGATACTAGGAAAATTATTCTCAGTATCTCAGACTAACTCTTCTTAAATTTTTCTATTCTAAGAGATGCTTACTCAAACTTTCAGTTGATCATGTAATAACTTGCTCTATACTCAGTCAGTAAACAAACAACTTATAATTGTCAACATTTTACTGTATTTTATAAGCATTCAATCCAAAGATGCTCAAATGGCTCCTAAATAAGAAAAAACAGGATGGAAACCAGCAAGTACAACTATATCTTCTATTTCTTTATAAATTTATTATAGATTAGCCAGTTGAAAGGAAATACTTATGGTTCTTTTCAGTCTGAAATTGATTAAACATTTCAATCATCGGGTTTATTTAACATTATCTCTCTTTTCTTTCTTAAATAGACTAGGGGTCTTGGTAACCATGTTTGAAAAATGCTAAATCAATAAAGATATGAGTATGTTAAAAAAAAAAACAAAGAAAAAGATATAAATCATTTTGCTACGTAAGGGTGATTCACTCTTCAGAGAATGGTTGCTCTATGTAGCACAGGACATAACAGATGTCGTGGTGTGAAAATACCTGGAGCTTGCCTACATATTTACTATGCTTCATCACAGAAATAGTTATCTAGTTACTTTTATATAAAGGTCATCTCAAAAGATTTGTCCTTTTTGTAATTTTAATATAAATCATGTGTGTGTTCCTGTAAGTAGACTATGTCTCTGATTTATAGAGGAAGTAAACAGAAACTGCACACAAGTGATAACAAATGCAACAGGACACAGCTAGTCAGAAGAGGAAACATCACATAGTTAAAGCTTGACTGAGGCAGGATTCATAGATGTTTTATCATTCAGGAAGTTGAGTGCTAGGTAGTAACCATTTGCTACAATACTCACACAATGCCATCATCCTGCTAAGATGATTCTCCCTGCCCACCCTAACCTGTAAAGCCAAACATTCCCACGTTTCACTTTTGGTGGTGGTGGGGCACTAGAGCCAACCAAGAATGGCCTCAACAAGAGGGCACACTCTTGGTAGTGTGCCATTTAGCAACCTGAAACACAATTTAAAATGAGTGGGACGAACAACATGAAGGGTAAATGTAGAGTTTGGCTATTATAATTTTGCAGGAAATGCATTTGGACAACTCCATTTATATCTAAGGATGTTGTATGAATTTCCAGTATATCAACTGTAACTTCGGATCCCTGGTCTTACACTGACAGCTCTGAATATCTGACACAAGGACTTTGCACACTTTTCGGACTCTTACATGCAAACAATTATATGTAGCCAGAACTGGCCTGTGGGAGAACAAACCCGGAGAAAATGAAGCTGCTCCAGAGGACAGCACTATCAACTCTCTTGATTTGTGGACAGAGAAGCCTGGCAGGGAGCAGCCACTGCCAGCCATGGCAGGATGAGGTCAGTGTCTACTCTGCTTCTTTCGTAAAGATGCAACTGAATTTCCCTTTCCTTATGAGAAGATATACACCAGCACGTGTGGGGAGCAGCTGAGCCATGGCTGAATAGGAGATAGACCATATATTTGGGGCTTGAGCAAGGCCAGCCCTGAGAACACAGAGCACTAGAGGCCAGCCTTGTAAATAAGTTGTGGGGACTAGAGCAAAGCTAGTCCAGCAGGTGTCTGGCCTTGGTGCTCCTTCCTGTTAACTACAGCACGGATGGCTCTGAGAATGTTTTGCTTTCAGTGTTCTCAGCAAAACACTGAGACCTGGCACTTTCTGCCTCATTGCACGCCTTCCCTCTTTTTACTGTGTATAAATAAAGACACAGACTGTGCTGGGTTGCCGCTGCCTCTCTATCAGAGAGGTCAGGTCCCACCTGGTCCCAGCTTTCCTTTTAGTATATGTCTAGCTTTTTCTTAATCTCTCATTGCCCCCTCAACCTCTGGCTGTGCAGGGTGTGGCAGGTATGTTTTAAAATGCTTTGCTTATCACTGGGGCAACTTATAAACAGGTAAAATTTGTCACTTGGATTTAGGTTAAAAACTAATTTTGATCTTTGTTAGCAATACTTCTGTTACTTTTTGTTATTAGTTGTGAGTTATTTTAAGAAATATTTTTTGAGTTTAAATACAGTATAATATCATGGTTTATACTTGAGAAATATATGAATTTTTCTAAACTTGCAAATATATGAATTTTTTCTTTTTGGTACCGTGAATCGAACTGAGGACCTTGTGCTTGCCAGGCAGGCGCTTGTGCCACTGAGCTACATCCCTGCCTGAAACTGTTAACGGCTCTATGATATACTGTTTAAATCAAGAGCGTGAATAAATTTTACCCAACAGTCTGATTCTCAAAAGGGCAACCAGAACATTGCAAACATAGGTCTATGTGTAATAGCATTTACTAACTGGTAACAACATTTAATAATGTAGATGAAAATTCATTCAATATGAGAGAACCTGTCCATCTTTGAGTTGTCAGAAATCTTTCCTAAAAATCATTCTAACGATGTTAAAGGTGCTAGAGCGATACAGATTAATATCTCAGAAGACTTAACAGAACTAATAAGATCTTTTAGAAAACAATGTGCATTTCAAACTACCAGATGGTGATATATTTCATCTGTTAACATTAAAGCTCAGGACAATAGAAAATATTTCAAACTAGGATTTGGAGGCTCTGCTTCCATGCTGAGAGACTGGCAATCATTTCCTTTATGTCTCTTTATTTCATTTCTTTGTAAGTACAAAAGGAATGAGAATGTCTGTTCTCACTTAGCACACAAAGTTGCAGCAAAGGTCAAATTAGATAATTTAGAAAAAGAAGTACTAGATAAATGCAAGGTGATGGTTCTTTCCCTTCCTTGAGCCCACTGATGGGAAGCCACAGCTTGAGAAATGAAGTGTTACGAACCCGAGACATTAACCAGAGGAGGTAAGGTGCTCCTGAGCAAGCACAAAGCAAGGCAGAGGACTGAAGTGTCGGGGCAGAAATGAGCAAAGGAGACAAGTCAAAAGCAGCACGAAAGCAACTTGACACCCACAAACATTTCTCTATCCCGTGCAGCACGGTAATGAGGAATGAGAAAAGCAGGAAAGCATTCTTAAACCACTGAAGGATTAAGAAAGAAAACACTGGTACTTGGAGGAGAATCTCCAAAGGTTCTTGGTCGGTTTGACAGGATGGGGTCCTGTAAGTAGAGGTAAGATCTGGAGGAACCTTGCTCCTAAGAAAGACTGGTGACAAAGACAGGGAAGAGGCAAAGCATCTCACAACCATCTCTAGCTAGGTCAGTGACTTTAGATTAACTTCATCTCTAACATGTCTCAGATGAACAGTGCCTCCATTTCTTGATGTCTAAAATGAGCTGGACTAGATAGTTCCCAAGACGCTCTTAAACTCGAGAGTTAAAAATCACAGTAGACATGGTGGGTCACACCCACAATCAACGCCTGCTCATCTTTTACCAGGTTAATGGCTCAGTGCTTGGCACTCCTGATTTTTAAGAGGGATATCGAAGTGCATGGCATCAGCACAGCCAAAAGGTATGAGGAACCCTCGTCAGCTCTTGTGGGACCAAAGCACCAAGCAGCAGACTGTGAATTCTACCAGCACAGTAGCTTCTGTTATGTGCTCTGATTCACTGATAGGACTCAAGGACGCACTCAGGACCTAAGCAGCTCTACCTTGCAGCAGCACTGTTCAAATACTGACACTTGGGGTGTTTTTAACTATGTAAATACCAAAGGCTACTCTGAAAACTCCAACTGAATCATATACTTAAATGTCCATTCAATCACTTCATTTGCTTGGATCCTACTATATGGTAGATACTACTGTCCCCACTGACCAAATATACAAAGCAAAATAAAGATCTCTGTCCTCACAATGACAATTTTGCAGAGAACACAGATACCAATAAACATGATAAGGAAATTACAGGTTTACAGTCTAGGGATGTAGCTCAGTGGCAGAGCACTTGCTGAGCATCCATGAGGCCCTGGGTTCCATGCCCAGCACTGCCAAAAAATTCCCCAAACCAAACCAAAATAAAAACCTCAAAAAACAAAAAAAGCAAGTTTACTAAAAGGCAAAAAGAAAAGAAAAAGCAGACCAGGGAGCAGCATGGGGGCACAGGTACCACACTGAGTAAGATGACCACAGGCCCCAGTGGGAAAGAGTCTGCCAAGCAGGTACCAGGACGAGCACGGCAAATGAACACAGCCTGCACAGTGCTGAAAGAGAGCCAGTTGGGGGATGTCTAGGGGTTCAAGGACACTGACCAGGTTTGTGGGATCCATCTGTGGAACTCACATCTCCTGCAGCATTCCTCTGGTGTAGCAAATACGTTCATCTGAAGCTAAATACAACTGAGGCACTGGGGTATGAAAAACAGCCTCAGGAGATAAAAAGACGTTTACGGCAGGGCCCACTCTACTATTTGGGAAGATGAGGCACCTCTTTAGTGGTTGATGGCAGCTATTTTCACTTCATGTTCTATTCTCATTCCTCTTTTCTAAACACCTCATTTGGGAAGGAAGATGAAAATGCAAAATTCCCAAAGGACTCAGTTTAAGTGTGACTGTTAACCTCACCATGCGACATCTTACGCACCAGCAAGCGTCTCA